GAGATCGAGACTATCCTGGCTAACCCGGTGAAACCCCGTCTCTACTAAAAATACAAAAAAAAAAAAGAGCCAGGCATGGTGGCGGGTGCCTGTAGTTCCAGCTACTCCACAGGCTGAGGCAGGAGAATGGCATGAACCCAGGAGGCGGAGCTTGCACTAAGCTGAGATCGTGCCACTGCACTCCAACCTGGGCAACAGAGTGAGACTCTGTCTCAAAAAAAGAAAAAAAGTACATTTTTCAGGGCTATAGCTGCCACAGACAGTGATAGGGATTCCTGTGATGGATCTTGGCAAAGTAAATTGAAAGCTTCTGGAAATAACTAACCATTCTGGATGTCATTAAGAACGTTTGTGATTCACAAGAGGAGATCAAATATCGACATTAACAGGAGTTTGGAAGTAGTTGATGCCAACCTTAATGGATGACTTTGAGAAATTCAAGACTTCAGTGGAGGAAGTAACTGCAGATAAGGTGGAACTAGCAAGAGAACTAGAATTAGAAGTAGAGCCTGAAGATGTGACTAAATTGCTGCAATCTCATGATAAAATCTGAATGGGTGAGGAAGTACCTCTATGGATGAGCAAAGAAAGTAATTTCTTGAGATGGAATCTACTCCTGGTAAAGATGTTATGAACGTTATTGCAGTGACAACAGAGAATTTAGAATATTACATAAATTAAGTTGATAAGGCAGCAGCAGGGTTGTAGAGGGTTGATTGCAATTTTGAAAGAATTTCTACTGTGAGTAAAATGCTATCAAACAGTATCACATGCTAGAGAAAAACCTTTCATGAAAAGAACAGTCAATTAATGGGCCAAACTTCTTCACTGTCTAATTTAAGAAATTGCCACAGCCACCCCAACCTTCAGCAACCACTTCTCTCTCTCATCAGTCAGCAGCTCTCAATATCAAGACCCTCCACCAGCAAAAAAAAAAAAAAAAATTACAACTTCCCAATGGCTCAAGTGATTGTTAGCATATTTTAGCAATAAAGAATTTTTAATTAAGGTATGTACATTGGTTTTTTAGACATGATGCTATTGCACACCTAATAGACTATGGTATAGTGTAGACATGATTTTTATATGCACTGGGAAATAGAAAAAGTTGTATGACTCACTCAAGTGCAACATTTGCTTTATTGTGGTGGTCTGGAACTGAACTTGCAATATCTCCAAGGTATGCCTGTATACATGTGTGTATGTGTGTGTGTGTGTGTGTGTAGTCATCCCTTGATATCTATGGGAATTGGTTCCAGGGCCTCCCATGAATACCAGGATATACAGATGAGCAAGCCCCTGATATAAAATGGTATAGTATTTGCATATAAACTATGCACATCCTCCCACATACTCCAAATCATCTCCAGATTACTTACAATACCTAATACAATGTAAATTCCATATAAGTAGTTATTATACTGTATTGTTAATGATTCCCAAAAATGTCTGTGCATATTTAGTAAAAACACAATTTTGGGGGAGATATTTTGGCATATTTTTGATCTGCAGTTGGTTGAATCCACGGATACAGAAACCATGGATATGGAGAGCTGACTTTGTGTGTGTGGGGGGTGTGTGTGTATAATATATATATTATATAACATATATATATTATATAACATATATATGTGTGTGTGGACAGTGTGGACTTCCTGCAGGAAATTGTGTGCAGTGTGGACTTCCTGCAGGAAATATACATGATTAGAGGGGGAATGTATTAATTTTCTAGTACTGCATACAAATTACCACAAACTTAGTGGCTTAAAACAATACACATTTATTATCTTATAGTTTTTATGGGTCAGGAATTCTGGCACAGCTTAGCTAGGCCCTCTGCTTTAGGATCTCTCACGTGCCTGCAATCAACATATTGGCCTTGCCCACATCGTCTTGTTTTGTGCTCTCTTTGTGTTCAATATGGCACACAGTCCCTCACCGGTTAGTTGTCAAGGTGGGAACTATTATAGATTCATGAAGGATGGAAGCATTCAGAAGATACTGTGCACACTATTGACTGACCTTGTGGCTCTGTGTATGCTATGCCTTTTAAGAAAAGCTCCTTAAGAAGTTCCAAATGCAAGGGCCTTTATTCTTTATCTTAAAATAACCCATATCTTTTAAATCAACTGAATTCCTTTCTGTAATCTTAATGGGAGAATTATAGGAGATGTGAGGATTTGATTTGGATTTAGCTACAAGAGAAGAGCTAGAATGTTCTAAAAGCCAGAGGAAAAAGAGCACTTTGCAGAGAGTGGAAATGAGACAGTACAGTAAGGTTCAAGTTCTAGTTGAAGATTATTGGCCAGAGGAGAAGAAGTGAAAATGTTTTTAAGTCCCACATGGGTGGGCTGGCATTAAAGGTGTCCCACAGCTGTCAAAGGCTAGCCAGATCCTCTGGGACAGAATTTCTCACCAGTCTGTACCCTTCCGTCTGGTTCCTTTCCCAACATAAGAACTGGAAAAAAAATTAGTTTTAAGTTCAGAATCTCCATTTGAGAATATTTGGAAACCATACGCTCCACAATAATTGTTTTAATTTTTTGAAGACCTATTAACCTTTTAATGTTTCAAAGAGATCCTTCTATCAAGTAGGAATGGAGGGAGAACAAAAGGCTAAGGGAATAAAGAACTTTTGTTCTCCTTTGGGAATTACTGGATCATTGCGATTTCAAGACACATCCAGGGAAGCTGACATTCTGACTTCCTAGCTTCCACCCCATAGATATGTTCAGTTTGTCTGTACCCAGGTTGCCTGGCTGAGTCTCAGGAATGCTTGTATTCCAGGTGATGATCTTGCTGTGCAATCAGCAGAGTTTCATCTGCACTCACGTTGACTACTGCCATCCCCACTGCTACCTGCACCACAGCCGCTCCTGTGCCCGACTGGTCAGAGCCATTAAGCTACTCTATGGAGACAGTGTGGACTCTCTGAGGGAAAGCAGCAACATCAGCAATGTGGCTCTCCGGGGCAAGAAACAGAAAGAAGTAAGTGAACGACCACTGAGTGATATTCCAATACTAGGGAACATGATGTTCTAACAATTTCTTCTCTGGAAATAAGAATTTTCAAGCAAATGCAATTGTAACAATCAGGTCTGTGTGCATCTAAACAAAAGCAGAAGAGATGTACAAGAAAGACAAATGTTTTGTCTTTTTGTCCATGAGTAAACATGGAATCTTTCCTCAGGTTTTGCCTTACTCTGTAAATAAATATGAATGCATAGGGATGATGATGATGATGAATAAGTTATTGTGGTAGGCAGAATAATGCCTCTCCCACAAAGATACTCACATCCTAATCTCTGGAAATTGTGAATATCTTCACATGGCAGAAGAGATTTTGCAGATGTGACTGAAAATTTTACAATGGGCAGCGTGTCCTAAATTATCCAGCTGTTCTCGGTGTCATCATAAGGGTCCTTATAAGTGGAAAAAGGAGTCAGGAGGGTCAGAGGCAGAGAAGGAAATGTTGTGAGAAAAGCAGAGGTCAGTGCGATGCAGGGCCATGAGCCAAGGATTGCTGGCAGCCTCTAGAAGCTAGAGAAGACAAGGAAATGGATTATCTCCTAGAGCCTTCAGAAGCAATCACAGCCCTGCCAATCTGTTTTAGACTTCTGACCTCCAGAATTGTAAGATAATAAATTTGTGTCATTTTAAGCTGTGAAGATTGTGGTCACTTGTTACAGCAGCAACAGGAAACTAACACAACTATGTACTAAAAAATATGCGTAAATGGGCCCACTATTCCCAGCCAAGTAAAAGAGTCATCTAGGTCAAATCAGACTAAAGGAGATTCCTTCAAGAAACTATTACATTTTTCAAGTATTCAGCTGCCCTTTTCTGAAAACTACCCTGAGCAGCTGAGCTGGCAGGAGACGAAGACAGTGACCAGGGCTGCTGTGCTCCTGCCAGGGAAGGCCTGAATTTTCCACCTGCCCCTGAACAGGCATCACGGCCAAGATGCCTGACTGAATGTTGTGGCCGCCCCTGCAGCTGCTTTTCCCAAGCGGTTTCGCAAAGAGATTTTTATATAACACCTATTCATTTCAGCAGGCATTTATTATGTGCCCTCTGTTGGCACAATATTAGGCTAGATATTCTGTTAAGAAAAAATAAAACCTAGAAGCAGAAAATCTTTCTAAGGAATTTACAAACCAGGTTTGGACTGGGGAGGGGGTAAGCAATAATATATACATCAAACAATGAGAGAATATGAGCAATAACAACAAAAATCCACAGTTGAGTTGTGTAGCAGTTTTTTATACCTTAGCACTCACTAAGGGATTTTTTTAATTACAACTTTTTTATTATGAAAGCAATACATGTTCATTGAAGAAATTTTTAATAATACAAAATACTCTTTTAAAATTACATATCTGATATACCTCATAAGTGTGCAAGTTCATCCTATGGAGTATGATCTTTTAGTACTTTTTCTAAATGTATGTGTGAGGGTATAAAGTAAGTACATTTCATTGGCAAGTGCCTTTTGATTCTTAAAAACCATCGCAAGGGTTATTTTATCCCTATTTTACAGGTTTTTCAACTGTGGGGGCTCAGAAAGTTGGGATTATTCACAGTTTATATCTATAATGTATTTAGCTAGACTTTAACCTTAGAAATATGAAACATCAGAATCAGGGCTTTTTAAACTAGACTCTCTTGCATTTCATGTTATTCAAATAATACAAATTCTGAGGGGAATGAAGGTGGAGAGTAGACCAGTGTGGGGTACAAATAAACTGCTAAATAATGACATAAAAAGAAAAGAAGTAAATATGTTTGTGTGTGCATACATGTATATGTATATAAATCATATATATATTTCAAACGTAAATGGCACTGCATTTAAAGAAAATCTATTTTTATTTATGTAAATTCTTTATTACTATAAAAACTCCCTTAGCTTTAGGTTAAAACCATATACGTTGAAAGTTTCAAAAATACATGAGCCTAAATTATTGATCATTGTGCTCCATAAACACTTCAGAATTTCTTACTGCTGTGTTTTTTGCTGGAACTGGGCCTCTAATCTAACATAGCCCAACCCAAACATTCTTTAAGATCCAACTCAAATGCCATCTCCTCCATGAAACCTTCTTTGATTCTTCAAGTGTTAATCACAGGGCCTACTGCAGATGGACACTTAATGTTATTTTCCTTATTTCCTTCTTCAACTAAATTATAATGGTATTTTACTCATGTTTTCTCATTCTTTAAATCATCCAATCATCCATCCATCCATCCAGCCATCCAGCCAGCCATTCATCTATTCAACAAACTTGTAAAGAACGTGTAGAACATACTGAGCCCATACTTTGCACTGGGTACAATAATGGCCAAAAAAAAGAAAAAATACAGTTTGTACCCTCATATACTGCACATAATCTAGTCCAAGACAGACATTGATCAAATAACCTTCCCAAATTGATGTAAAATTGCATCTGCAATAAGTGAAATAATGGAGAGCTTCACCATGCTGAGAGAGCTTATGAATGAGGCTTTGGTCTTGTAGGGAAAAATAAAAGACAGCCTTTCCAATAAAGTGACAGGTGAGCTTTGACTAAAGGATGCATAGATGTTAACTGGATACAGAGTTTCCAACCAGAGGGAAGAGGTGAGTATGAAGGGCCATGACTGGAGCACAGAGGACTGTGGTACATGATGAAGCTGCATAGGCAGCTTGAGACCAGACCTTGTGGGATCGTGGGAAGGCTTTCATTTTATCCTGTGAGCAGTGGCATGTTCTTCCACTTAATAAGCTTTTTGAGAACTGAGGAAGTCTTTCACATTTTGTATCCTGCATTATAACCTAACAGAGTACTCACTTATATAATAATAGAGCAGTCATTAATATTAAGTGAGTGAGTAGAGCTATAGTCCTAGGGTGTTTCATGAGTGCCCTCCACTCTGCCTCAACCAGGCCACTGGCCTGAAGCAGTAGAAAAGGCTTACCAACCTTCTGCTATTGCTTACATTTCTGAAAAGGAAAGGAAAAGTAAGGCATGAATAAGTGGCTTCTAATTTTAACACTTTGAAATTAGTCATTCAGGTAGAGAGCTGAAAAGATGAATTGACTCCTCTGTGATAAACATTTTATTTCGAAAATGCTAGCCTCCTCCACAAGCTCTTTGCTTTCTGTCATGGCACTTTTCATTTGCCTGTTGTGAATCTGCCAGATAAATGAACAATGCCCACATTCCCAGATGAGAAATGAAAACAGAGTAGGCAATAAAGCAAGAGTAAAAGCAGTGTTCTGATTAGAATCGTGTCTTATGAGCAATTGGTATTTCATTCCTGTTTTCTTTTTAATTAGTTTTTTATGGCAGAGTATATTTGTGGCAGCTAGTACATTTTGTAACTCATCTAATTCTGATCGATTTGCTAATCTACATTTCAATGCTCAGGGACTCACTGTACAATCTGTTAGTCTATTTTAGTGTACTTCCAAACGAGGGTTTTTTAAAAATAAACTACATGTATATATCACCTTTACCAAAGAATTCTGAGATTTTTCTACATGTATATATCACCTACGTGTATATATCACCTTTACCAAAGAATTCTGAGATTTTTCCTCTATGTCTGTACTTTGTCCAAAGCTATGTTATAAGTAGAGTAAATGTTTAATTAATGCTTGCTAACTTAAAAAAGGAGCAGATTAAATTTTTCGCCTTTCAACCAAAAAGGAGGGGGGAACAAATTGTGATACATGCTCACAAAAATAAAGGACACAGTGTGGGTAAATTCCATAAAGCAAACTCCAGTGCCAATGTCAAGAGGTCAACTGACTTCCTGCAGAACCAACAGTTTTCCTAAAGCTATCTATGAACAACATTATTGTAAGGCCAGGACCAGGCCCTGGGTCTTAATTTCATGGGCCAGGATGACTGTCCACCATAACTTACATAATTCATGTGTTAAAGGTGTATGAGGCACAAAGAGTCTAGGTTACCTTTTGGGAAATATTGCATTTCTGTTGGCATAACCTTCTTCCCAGAAACATGAGGAAATTCCTTTCTCAGAGAGCCCAGTAGGCTGACTTCAATTTCCCCAAATTTTAAACACCTTGTTATAGTGTTACAATTATTTTAGAATTTAAAAAAAGAAGAAAAATATAAATACTTTGCTATTTCCACACTGAGTCCTCCTTCGTGCATGCATTTCCTTTTCTGTTTATCTTGACTTTTCATTTGTTTACGTGTTTGTCATCTGTCTTTCCTACACTTCTCTAGGAGTGCGGGTACCTACTCCAGAAGTTAGTCTAGTTCCTGGCATATGGTTAAATCAAAAAATGTTCTTGAATTATTCAATGAATAGGCAAAAGTTTATTTAAAACCATTATTATTCCTCTCTAGTCAGTAGTCTTGTTGTAAGGAACAAAAGATTGAACTTATTCAAACAATTAGGGAGATTCTTCAAAGGATACAGTAGAATCTCATGAAACTAGGGACAGAAAAAGAATCAGCTAAGCCTCAGGGCAATGAGAACCAAAGCTGCTGTCCATTTCAGGATGAACATAGTCTTTCATCTCAGCTTCTTTCTGCATTGTCTCCATCTGCACTAACATTCTGTCCCCTGGCCGCTCCTGTTGCTGTATTCATCTTTGATGTAGACTGAAAATTTCAAGATGGCATAATTATTTTTCTGCACAGCAACCATCACTAAATGATTCAAACTCTGTTCCTCTTAATTCCCTAGGACAGGAATTTGAGGGGGCCATCTCCTCCTCTTTTAGGCCAAACACCACAAGTGATAAATCCTTAGCCAGTCAAAAAATTGGTTTTGCATTGATAATCTAATCAAAAGTGGTCAGGATGCGGAGAGGAGTCACAGAGTCAACTAGGATGGATTTTTCTAAGACAGATACATAGGAAAAAATGGCATTGGTCCAAGTTTTACACTATCCCATAGCAAGGATTCCCAAGTATCCCTGATAGATCATGAGGCTGCATAACTGCTTCCCACTGAACACAGCTCCCTCCGGTAGAACCACCTCAACAATGACTGAGTAGAGGAATTCATCACTAATTTATTAATACCAAAGGACAGAATTTATCACTAATCTCTATTTATTGCTAATAGAGGCATCTACTAGTGGTCCTTTGAAGAGTTTGAGATTTCACTGAACTGCAAGATGCACATACTGGTTGAAATTACAAATCAAGCAGGAAACTGTAGAGAAACTCAAGACTAGCAACCCAAGACCAAAGGACAGAATTTGTCACTATTGTTTCCAGAATCTATCTCTATCCTGTCCTTTGGTCTTGGATTGCTAGTCTTGAGTTTCTCTACAGATCCCTGCTTGATATGTCATTTCAACCACTAGGTGCATCTTATAGTCCAGTGAAATCTCTAACTTTTCAAAGGACCACTAGTGGATGCCTTTGAAACTAGTCTCCTACTCCTTCCAGTAGTCTGAGTTAGGAGTCACACCAGTAGAGGGACTTTAAGACCTTTACAAGAGTATACCCAAGTACCCATCACACATGTACCCCCATCTCTGTGATATCTATCTTCTATTCAAGTCATTAAAAAAGAGTTACTAGCTTATCACCTTGATGTGAAAGCCCTTCCAGCTTCCTTCCTTTTCTACTAAAACAAGCACCCTAAGTATCATGAGGCCACCAGAACACACCATGCTTCCTAAGACAACATGGTAGGATATTAAATATTTGAAGAGCTTGACTTATACTTTCTGTTCCTGGTAGGCAGAAGCACAGAGTATCGGGGACAAATATAAATGCTCATCTTTGTGTGTGTGTGTGTGTGTGTGTGTGTGTGTGTGTGTTTGTGTGTGTGTGTGTGCGCGCGCGCGCGCGCTGAGTATTTTCCTGTATCTGCCTGGTTAAAATTCCTGTAATTTAATCAAGAAGTAATTGTTCAAAAGAATTTCTGGAGACAAAATGTCCAACCAAAAGAGAAAGTGGTAAAATATTTGAAAATTTTAAGAATTATATTTTTAAATAATTGTAATGAAAAAATACTCATTAAAAAATCATAGTAAAATGAATCATTTAAAATTATGTGCCACACATAGCATCATCACAGTTGTGCTAAGATGCATGGGGGAAAAGGCTGAAAGGAAACTAATAATGGCTATCATTGGGTTGTGGATTGTATTAGTCTGTTCTCATGCTGCTATGAAGAAATACCCTAGACTGGGTAATTTATAATGGAAAGAGGCTTAATTGACTCACAGTTCTTCATGGCTGGGAAGGCCTCCGGAAACTTACAATCATGATGGAAGGCAGCCCTTCACAGGGCAGCAGGAGAGAGAATGAGTGCAAGCAGGGGGAATGCCAGAAGCTTATAAAATCATCAGCTCAGATGGGCATGGTGGCTCACACCTGTAATCCCAGCACTTTGGGAGGCTGAGGCTGGCGGATCACAAGGTCAGGAGTTCGAGACCAGCCAGGCCAATATGGTGAAACCCCATCTCTAAAAATACAAAAATTAGCCAGGTGTGATGGTGGTGCCTGGAGTCCCAGCTACTCGGGAGGCTGAGGCAGGAGAATCGCTTGAATTTGGGAGGCAGAGGTTGCAGTGAGCCAAGATCATGCCACTGCACTCCAGCCTGGGCAACAAAGCAAGACTCCATCTCAAAAACAAACAAACAAACAAAAACAAAAACAAAACAAAACATCATCAACTTTCGTGAGACACACTCATTATCACAAAAACAGTAGGGGAGGAACCACCCCCATGATCCAATTACTTCCCACCGGATTTCTCCCATGACACATGGGGATTATGGGAACTGATGAGATTTGGGTGGGGACACAGTTAAACCACATCAGGAATTACTGAGACTTTTGTTTTCTTCATAATTTTTCTTTCTTTTCCAGATATGCCCCAATGTACATTTATTATTTTATAAACATAATAAAACAGAGAGATGCCAGTTTTTAGTATCTTGACTCTTTTGCAAGGGTCAGATACACCTGTACATTAGTATGGAAAACTATTCCTATATATGATTTTAGAACAGTTTTCAAACTATATAAAATGGGCATACTGTTTATGCTATATATTGCTTTCACATACACAGGGTAAAAAAGCAAAGCAATAGTTATTTCTCCAAATAATATGTGTTCCCACGTCTGCACCTCCGTGATTTTTCCTTTAGAAAGCACAGCAAGAGCTCTTATGCACTTGTTTTCAAGTAGGTTCATTTTAAAAGTTGATTCTATACTCGTCACATAATAGATGCATTTTCTTGGGTCTTTTTGTCAGAGTTTTGAAAGATTTTCTTGGAATATCCATGCACTTTTAGATTTGCCTTTTCTTTCAAAATATCTTTATCCATAACACTATGAAGCTCTGTTCAAAAATTCTTAAGAAGTTCAGTTTTTTTTCCCTTGGCTAGAGGGAGAAAGTGTTTCATTGACATGCCTCTGGAAAAACAAATGAGCATTTATTCCATGTGAGGAGAACCATTCCCTCTTTGCACAGCCTGGAGTGCAAAAATAGAAGAATCGGGACTCTGGATAAATAAGCCGGCCTTCGTTAGGTTCAATCCTTCTCCCAGTTGCACTGTTCAGTCCATCTCTTGGCGTTGAAGGAGTTAGAGGAAGAAATTGTCTTATCCGTTCTTATGTAGGTGAATCACCTGGTTGAGGAGACAATTTCTAAGAAGAGCTGTTGCCTCTTACAGAAGAGTATGGTTTTTGAAAAGAAATCATTTTACCTGTACAGCTAGGTCCTTGATAATGGGTACTATGAACTCATACTTCCTTGACGAGTCCTGTATTTGACCTTTAACTTCCTAACACTTCTCTGTGAAATATTTTTTCTCTTTTATGACCAAATTGTTCAACTTGTAGCATCCAACCCTGTGAAGGGACTATTGGATAGAGTAGATTTTATCTCACTTAATATTTTAAAAGATTTGTGTTTTTCTTGATGAAATATAATTAGCCCTGAAATGGAAATGGGGAGATCCTTGTCCTTTCCCTTTTCTGCTAATAACTAGCTTTGCAGTTCAGTCAAGTTCTCCACCTCTCCGGATCCCAGTTTTCTCAAAGGTCAAAGAGGACTTCATTACTCAATATCTCTAAGCTATTTTTTATTACAAAATTAACTGCTTTTATAAATAAACTACTTTTATAAATTTTAGAAAATGTAGACCCACCAAAAGGCCTTTAATTATCCCTTCCACTAGAAGATGGTTGCCTGGAGAACTGCGGGGACATACAGCACTGTTGGGTTTTTAGAAAACACACCACTCTTCTTTACATATCCCTGTTCTTTTCAGTGCTCAGATAAGTCATGCCTGAGGACACCTTCTCTAAAGAAGAGAGTTTCAGATGCCAATCTGGAAGGAAAAAAAGATTCCGGAATGCTGAAGTACATCAGACTTCAGGTATTGGCACCTGGATCAGAAGGATTCATGGAACTTTTAACAGGGAGGGAACTCCAGACAGCCTATTTACTAATGTTTAGGACATACAGCGTCAGTTGGTACAGTGTTGGCATAAAGCCCCTTCAGTTGGTGAGCAAGAGTGCCACCAAGTGTGCAAGAAAAAAAAATCTTTTCTTGCTAGATAACCAGCTTCCACAGGCAAGACTTGGGAACTTTGGTTCGAACCACAGCTCTCCCCACTGTCCTCACTGCAGGAGAGTTAACTTCCCACGTGTATGTAACAGCTACACTTATGGGTTTTGGAATGAGACAGTCTGGGTTCACATCCCATGTCTGCTGCTCTGGCTCTGGGACCTTGGGCAAGTTATTTAATTTCTCTTGGTCTCAGTCACCTTATTTATAAAATGGGGGTTACAACACTAGACCTGTCCCAAGGAATTATTTCATGGATTAAAGAAAATGGTACATGTACCTACTTATCCAGTGCTTGACACATTGTTATGTTATTATTACAACATAAACTCTAAATCGTTATCTCCCCCCAAAAAAAAACTGTTCATATTTTTCTGGAATGTGAAATGATGATGACTTGTCTGGAACCTACATTTGTCACCTAAATTGTCAGAAATAATGGATTAAATAGGATTTTGTGGGTTAATCTGGGGCAATAACCACAATGTATTATGTATTTCGAAGGGAAATGTCATGCATGTTCACACTGGCTCAGTTAACTTTTCAAATGGGCTTTTTCATGAGTTACAGGCTGCTTATAGTTTTCAGTGGAAATCTACTATTAGGAATGAAAATAGGAGCCTTTAAAAATCTATCAAGACTTTTAACACACAGATGTATTTCCTGGGTTCTTTCTTTTCTCGTGGGGTTGTACTCAATCTATGGTTTACTCTTTGATGGTTGCAAAGCAATTTTGTGGTGAAAACATCATAAAATTAGTGGGGTTTTTTCTAATTTTGCTTCAGTTAATAAGGTATAAAGCTTATCATATGCACTGTCAACTAAATATGCTCCCATTTTAGAAAGTATTTTAAGGTCACTTTAGGCAATCAGAGAGAGGGGAAGTGGCTTTTAAGTTTCAGGAGAAGTGCAGTATTCACTGTCTTAAAAAATTTTAAAACATGATTTCCATCTTTTCCCAGGTGATGAGCTTGTCGCCTGCTCCCTTATCTCTGTTAATCAAGGCAGCACCAGTTCTGACAGAGGAGATGTATGGAGACATCCAGCCAGCTGCCTGGGAGCTCCTGCTCAGCATGGATGAACACATGGCAGGGGCAGCAGGTAAATAAAGACCCCCTGGAACCCTGCGCCTGCTACCACTGCCATTACTGATCCAAGTGTTTAAATAAGAGAGAGGGGCTTTCATTCTATTTTTGCTCCTAGGTCAAGTTAATGGCAATTGCTATAACTGTAGACTCTAGAGCTGTGTGCTATAGGAAGGTAGACCCAGGGTTTGTGTGCTCCCTTCCAATTTCACCATATGGTCTGCACCAAAGCATATGTCTCTCTCAGGGTGTTACCAAATTATAGAGAATGATTTTCCCCAGATCCTGCACTTTCACTATATTTCACAAGAGACAAAATTATTTTTTGTGTCCTCTCCTAGATTTAACATGCACCACCATAATTAACTTTATCAAATCTTATGTGAGTAATGTTCTATGTCCAAAAGGTGGTATCGAAGCAAATGTGTTAACATTTAAGTGATTTGTCCAAGGCCACATAGCTAGAGGCAAAATGTGTATTATTCACTTTTCCACTTTTTGTACAGATCCCTAAATTTGTATGTGGTTATTTTAAATTCAAAATACACGTGATAAAAATTCAAGTAATACAAAA